GCGAGATCGACTAGTTGTATGGACATAATAACATAACAGCACTTCTTTTCATTCAAAGTAATCAAAAAAAAGTTTGCGATTCCGACACAGGAACGTTCACAGGCTTCATTGGGAGTAGATGTTATTTACTACGGTATAGAGATAAATAGCCATATACCCGCTTCTTAAATATGAAGACTCCGGATTCATCGGGCAGTTACACCGGGACTGAGGCTTCAAGACGAAGAGCAACCTTGCCGGTTTCGATAGTCTTTACAGCTGCATCGGTTTCTCGGTCCCGTGCTGGTTGGGCGGCTTTAAACAATTATACCTCCTCTTCGGGGTTTCCGCAAACTTCCCTCCTCAAAGCCACGTCCACCATGGATTTATGTGTATACAGGCGCGATTTCCTTGAAGCTGCATGGCCATCATCCTCAATGACTGGTGTATTTGTCCCCGGAAGGGTCAGCATATTCCAACGGTCGAGGAGGTAATGTCGGTTGATAGTCGGCGTCCGACCAAGGAGCCCTTCTAGACGCTAGTCGGGGGTCATGCCTCCAAAGTTCTTAGGCGACCAGGTTATGGTCTTTGTTCCTGCCGAGATAGTCAATAGATCTCGGGCGCACCAACCTCGTCTTGCCGGGGGTAGTAAAGTGGAGAAAAGACTGGTCCACTAGAAGTTCTGCTGGGTCTGAATATATTCCTGAAGCAATGGCCCGAGAAATCCCTCTCTGGCCATTGCTGGATTGACTTGGATAGACTTCTGGGAGTGTGTATTTGCTTCCCGTTCAATCAAATCTCTCCTAAGTACAGCAACATGACAGTCCTTCGTTTAATCTGGGGTCTTCCCTAAAATTTTGGAAAGTGATTTAAGGTTTTAAAAACGGCGAAAATATTGTCTTTATTGTTCGTCTTCAAGAAGTATTGTTTACATTGTAGCCGTTGTCATAGCCTCGTTTGTCACGCAATTTATTTTTCTTCAATATTCTGCTATACACTGGTTAATTGGGCTTAATAAATTTCGTGAGTCATGACGTAACGTTATGTAAACCTATCTGGAGCTTGGTTAAACCGGAATGATATTGTGACGCAGTATTGGTTGTTAATCGACTTCGGGTAAGTATACACTAGTCTAATTAAGAATTATCCTTCATCCTCTTCGGTAGACGACCAGAAAATTGATGTATATTAATATAATCTTCAGAATTTATTTAATTGGAATAATAACATAAAGCATTAATTCGAACAATAAAACATTAATTGTTTGTGAAATTCAAAACTCTCTTTCCAAAATTAACATTTACAGTTTGCCGGTTATAAAATTTATTAAAGGTCGATTCTCAAGGCTGAAATATCTGTAATGGATTGTCCACTTTCAAGGGCTGCAGAGGTTGAGGACTAGCGAGTGGAATGCGCGATTGCGCATCAAAACCCTCTATTCCTGATTAAATTAACACACTTTTAATCTAACGTGCAACATTAGTAGACGTAACCTTTTTGTGTGGTTTTACAAATGTAATGTAGTAAAGTGGATCTAACACACAAGTTAACACAATCTGGGAATGATGGTAGTAGCATTACCCGGTCTAGAAGTTTTGGTTGCACCCATAATAACAAAGACAGCGTTATCCGGGAGGGACTGATAAATATTTAAGGTCTAGTAACGTTATGGATTAATCTATCTGCAGAAACCAGGGCAATAAGAATAGCTAATTTATTGGATAATTCTCTTAAAGTTAGCTTAGAATCACATGGTAAGGTTTTGATATAGTTTAACACAATAGACACATCTCATGTCACCCAATATTTAGGCAAGGGTGGTCTGACATTGAACACAATTTTCATAAACTGGCTAACAGCTATGAAGGTCAATTAAAATTTTAGTTCTAGTAGCACGCCTCGACCAATAAAAAATCAGGGCTTCCCCAACATGACGTCGTTGACCTCATTTCTTCTTACTTCCCGTCCGTCGAAGATACGAATAGCCAAGTGATCACGCTTCAAATTTGATTTATAATTAATGACATGACCAATTTAATTAAATTGGTAATGACGGGAAATGTTAGAACTATAAGTGAGTATTGTGAGATGATAGCAGACGAAATGTCTTGAACGCGTGAAAACAACATGGCGGGTGAGAAACTTTCTATATACTGTAATATATAGTCAAACAGTAGTAAGAAGTTTTATTTTAATCCCTTCAACTGTATGTAATATATAGTCAAGCATGAGTAGTAAAAAGTTTTATTTTAATCCCTTCAAGTGCCTGTGCTATGAGGGGATTTGGGAGCTACACTTTTTTTGTTTTTTTAATAAGTGGTCCTATATGCGCATGTGCTAGATGTGCATATTTAACTGGTCGTCTACAGAAGAGGATGAAGGATAATCCCAGTCATCACGTGGAATCGCTGTCATCCATAATCTGAACTTTGAATCCATTAAACGTCTTGTATTATACAGTAATAAGGGGGTTTGTCAGTTGTGCATATTTTATTAACATTCCAATCCCTCATACTTAAACATATATATAGATATAGATTTTAAGTATTTTGTTTTTTATTGGTTAAAGTTTACTCTGAAAAAAATTGACTCTCCCTGTTTACAAATAATATGCCTCATAGTAATTCTGTTCCAAGCTTCTATAAGATTTAGTACGGTAATTTTAGAGAATTTCATTAAACTTTATCCGAATATATATTGGCATGATCATATTTCATCTAAAGAATTTTATTTATTGATGAAACCTATAATTTAACAAACTTTTATAGTTACTATTATGCCTCAGACTCAGATTAATTTTCAAACTGTATTTTCTAATATTCACTGTAAATTTGCTAATCTTCATGTGTAAGAAGTTTTGCTTGGCGTTTCGCACATAATATTATGCCTTGCATGTGGACACTTTTTAGAGAAAAAATGTACTTTCTGTAATAATATTTAAATACTGGAAAATTTATTTTATACATGTGGAGTAGTCTCCCCTATATGGATAGACGGGTGTTCGATCCCAGCATTGGCCGAGAAAGTTCATCCAGATTTTCCGGCGTGGTCCCCCCTTGTCAGTGATGCAGGACCTGACAAGGACAGATGTCTAGTCCTTCGGTTGTGACGATAAACCGAGGTCCCGTGTCATCATTGGAATGCACGTAAAAGATTCCTTGGCAGTTGGAATTCGATATAAGAGTAGACTATAGTGCCGCTGCCCGGGCAGGCACAATTCCCCTCATAGCACACTGTATGGCGTATGCCCGTCTTCATTAGCCCAGCATAGGAGCAGAACAGTAGGAAGAAAAAACCCATTTCATTTCATATATGGATAGAGAGAGAAATGGAGTTTAACGCCCACTCGAAACAAACTAGGGTGTTACGGGACTAACACATGGTTCAATTTTATTTCAATAATTCGCTTCCACGTAGGGGTCTTTAGCAGTGGGAGGAAACCGGAGAAACCCCACGAGGTAAAACAGGCGACCCTACCCCTTGTCACGTACAACCAGGGAATCGAAACCCCGTCAGTTGACTCAATGACATACCTTATGGATACACAATTGCTGAGTTTTTAATACTAAGCGACATTTCGACGAGGATACTCTCGTCTTTATCAAGCAAATGATACAGATTTGTAATAGTAGACAATGGTTGACAGTTTATCTTTGGGTTCTATCTCATTAACATGTGAGTTTTTAACTTTTTCTTGGCCGAGAAAGTTCATCCCGATTTTCGACGTGGTTTCCCCTTGTCAGTGATGCAGGACGGAGGGCCTGACAAGGACAGCTGTCTAGTCCTTCGGATGAGACGAAAAACCGAGGTCCCGTGTAAACATTGGAATGCACGTAAAAGATCCCTTGGCAGTTGGAATTCGATATAAGAGTAGGCGATAGTGCCGCTGCCCGGATAAAATTTCCCTCATAGCACACTGTATGGCGTATGCCCGTCTTCATTAGCCCAGTATAGGAGCAGAACAGTAGGACGTTAAACTTCATTTAATTTTATTTTTTTAACTTTTCCTAAAATGAACAAATTTATTTTTAATGTTACTTACATATTATTAATCTACAGAAAGCTGTTGTATGGCGTAATCGTCAGGATTGTAAATTTCAAGCATAAGACTGTATCTACCGAAACTATTATATTTGTAGAGAAATTAAGGTTTAGAATAATTGTTGATAAATTTGATGTCGTCGCCCCTGTCCGTCCACCCGCCCGTCCGTCCGTAATTTTGTTTGTGGACACTCTACAGGTCACAATTCTTATCCAATTTTGACGTCTTATCTCCCAACGATCTCGATTCCTTTCGAAATTGGAAGTATAACTTCTTGATGAAATGTTTATAACCCAAAGATCTTGGTTCCTGCCGATATTCGCGCATATCCGATCGTAACTTTCTGATTTTTACGCAAAATCGCATTTTTAGCTTGTGGTCCCTCGGGACGTCACAATTTTTATCCGATTTAAAAAGCCGTTCGAATACATGTATATCACTGTTACACAGTAATATTGATTCAGTTCGAATTCCGTGAAAATCGAAAATCGTCCCAAAACTGCCCAACAAAATGGCCACCCCTCGTACGCAAATAGTGCTGCTCCATCTGCGGTAGAAAGCGTTCTGCCCAACGAATATTCGGAAAAAGTTAGAGCCGATCTAAGAGGCGATCTGTGGCCATATCGTGTGCTGAGCGGAATTGCACCATTTATTGGCTGATATCCCTTTCAGAGATCCAACCCTCGCAATATTGTAGTCTGTAAATAAAAAAAAAACCTAGACAAATATAAAAAAATATATATTTATTGCTGGATAATTTATGGTTGATATGATATAAAAACATGGACTTATGCACTGAGATGCTATTTACACAAACAAAACACCAACAACATAATACAAACATTGTTTTATCAAATTATACTCAAATATAAGAAGTTATAGTTAAATTAAATTTTAAAATGGAGATAACTTCTAATTTCATGTAAACTAAGACTAATAATTCTCTGGCCAATGGTAAATCCTTGACATTTCTTGAACTTGACTTCATTTTCTTTGTTGATTTCTTCCTAACTCATGTTTCCTCCCTGATCCTTCCGCCTCAAAATAATAAATGATCCATAAAACCTGATGTAAATTTACAAACACTCTTCTTGAAAACAGGGGGGAAAAATGGAATGAAAAGAATTACTATAAATAGATCAATATTTGTGAAAAGAATTATCAGTCTTAATCCATATTCTGTTACAATCGCAAACTGATATGTAATACAAATAATTAATACTATCTTAATATATTGCACTATATAATTTAGATCTGTCATATAATAAAGGACTCTTCTAGTTACAGAGATTCTTTCAAAGATGAGGAAATACCACAGGCACTCAGGTTCTCAACACAATTCCGATTCAACCACAATATTTTCAAAGACGAGGAAATACCACAGGCACGCAGGTTCTCAACCCAATTTCTAACTCACCGACGATATTTTTGGACCAGAAACTGGGCCCCAGCGCTACTCGAATTCACACGTGCTTTACCTGGTAAATTTTTGCTATGGATGGATCATAAGGTGGATTCCATCTCGGGATCTCCGATTCTTACTGATATACACTCATACGAATTATTGAATAAAATTTTACAATGATTTGTTTCAAAGCACACACCAGGAACGAAATCAGGTAATGCTATGATAACAAATGAATATAAAAACCCGCTCACAGCCGTTAAAAAAAAGACATTTACATTCTCGCTTATGTAAACAAATGTGAAAAAAGTCTTATAAAACAGTATATAAGTTCAATGCTAAATAAAGTTATTTCATACACACCCAGTCTCCGTCCAAAACGAATGAAGTTGTTCGTTAATTCGGACTAAAACTTTTGTCACATATCACAGAAATTTTTTTGATTCTTATACAAAAATGATTTCGATTGTATAGGATTGCCAGGTCGTACATCACGCCAAATCAGTGTCTATAATAATTGTATACTTAACCAAGTAATGCTACAAACTATGCTGTTGTTTGTTCCTAGTCTGCGAAGAACTAGTGCGACCCGGGCAGTTGCCGTGTTGCTATGGTTTGATTAAGTCGATATTGAATCCCGTTTATTTTGAGTAGAAACAAAATAAAAACATTGCACTATTTAATCGTAATCTAATATAAATGACTGCACTTATTCTATATCCAAGTTAAATGTGTAGTCATCTGATAATCTACACCAGGAACCACCACGTCATCAATAGGCTGTGTTATCACAGAACCAGATAGAGCAGTTTGTAACACGTCATATTCACATCTATACACATCTGATGGTGTCATCACTTCTGGAGCACAGCAATCTGATATGTCACTTAAAAGTTCGTGACGACATTCATTATGAACGCACGCAGACGTCGCTGTTGTAAACACGTCGTCATTCTCAAAGGATAAATTATCATAATCTGGTGGACTATATTCTTTATGCTGATCTTCATAAGTGTAAGGTGGTAGATTAGCCCCGAGAGGTGGCGTGTACATCTCAGGATCTGGTTCAGTACTGTTTGGCTGAAAATAAAATAAGTTCAATTATGAAAGTACGTATGGGGCTGTTTGACAAACCAGGAGATCCACAGGTTGCTTCAGATGTCTCTTCCCCCACCCCAACACCTTGTTTTGGGTGCAGGGCGAAGGGCCTAGCAAGAAAGGGGACTCGTTAATGATCTGCTGGCAATTTGGAAACTATATGCTTCATTAGTCCAGTTGGTTTTACGATAATTAAGTCGCTAAATCCAATTAAATTTCAATTTGAAACAGACCATATCAACTTGAATTACGGACCACGACTACCATGGCTACGAACAAGCAGAGCAGAATTTATATGATCCGAAAATAAATCTGGCCATCTAGCATGCATCCCTCTAGTATGAGTTTTATAAAGTATACAATATGTGAGCACACTTTACCTGTTTATAAAGAAAATCATACGTCCCCCTTCCCTCCGTTAACTCCTGATACTGTGACACAACACATGCAAAACAATAACACTGAAAATATATGCCATAACGTAACATAAGCAAAACAATAACACTGAAAATATACGACATTACGTAACATAAGCAAAACAATTATACTGAAAATATACGACATTACGTAACAAGCAAAATATACGACATTAAGCAAAACAATAATACTGAAAATATACGACCGGACATAGTGTAGCATAAGCAAAACAATAACACTGAAAATATACGACATAGCGTTACAGACAAAAGAAAAGCTCTTGTCGAACTATTATTATTAATTTTACGGAATGCCATATATTCCAAAATGTGTAATAATCGTAAACAATACAATATTTTGTTGGGTATATAGTATCACATTTCCAAATAAAATACTTACATTAGCAACAAGGCGCACCATATAAAAACAAACGGCTATAATCTCCCACGGCTGTAATTTCTGAAACACATAAACCAGGAACGAACTTATAATTTGAACGTGTGTATATAATATCATTTGATATGGGGAAAAATGAATAACAACTAGAATATGTCGTGCAATTCTGACTCAGTGAATGAATGATTTCTTTCACAGTGACAATAATTTTGGTTTCTTGAAAAGTATTTTGTCCCTTTTCTTATTCCAGATAACTGGGTTTGAAAATTTTACCATTTTCTCCTTCATAAAGAAATTTGTTAAAATATTTTACCTTTTCATATTCTAGATGAACTGTTGTTAGAAGAGCAACAGCGCCAGTTTCATATAAAACAGTTACAACTAATATATAGATCCATGGTAACATCAGTAAACGCTTATCCTGTAAATACAATATTATACATGTATTAAGATTTTACTCAACTAAGACAATTATCTTAAATCCCAACAATTCAAAATATATAATAAGACCATACACCAACGTGCACCAACCGTTGAAACGATAAATAGGAACAGTATTAATAAAGTATAAAATCGAAATCCGTCAATCGATGCACAATTGTATAATGGGCAAACATGAAAGTTTAAAGTCGATCGTGCTTAGGCTTTTTCGAAGAGTGTCGCGCCTCCATGAACAACAAGATGAGTGACGACCTTGTCCACCATTAGACGAAAAAAACCACATCAGATCAATCCAAATGAAAGAGGCTTAGTGTGCCTTCAAAATAACATACCATATAAACACCGGGTAGTAATATTAAAGATACAGCTATTAACAACGAATACAGAAAAAACCCAGCATATATAATTCCTTTAAATTCTGGAAATAGAAAATAGGAAATAAATTTAGAAGCAATCACTGACAAATTGTAACCATATAATTGGATTTTCAATTGGAATTACACATTGGACCTGCATTTTGCTGAGATGCATATATGTACTGATGTACACCATGTAATAGACTTACTGATATATATATATGTAAGAGACATACATTTCGATTTACTGATAAACGATCGGCAATCAAAAGATTTGCTGATAAATTGTTATACACCAGGGACCGGATCGTTATCTTGCTAACGTGTCGTTTGTTAACAGTCCGTTAAATTTCTGTTGCTGGAAAGCCAATTTCATTATCCGTTAGCTAACGGACTGATTAAAGTTGATGCAAGAGAAGACTGTTTGTTCATTGGCTGAATTTTAAATTTTTATGTATAGCAACTTAAAGAAGTTAGTATTAACAAAAAATAGTGGGATAACTTGAAAAAAAAATACTATATAATTTCATCCCATAGAAAATGTGATTACCGCCCAACAAGAAAACTAGACTGGTATCTATAGGAATTTTTGCTAAGGGTAACTGACAGCTGACTAATGCCATCGTTAAACAGCATGAATGAATGAAATATGGTTTTATTATGGCACGTCAGCTCCAACCGGGCTATATTGGTGAATGAGACAAACTATTTAGTATCACAAAGCATTCATGTACACAAATAAAAACAAATATCACAGTATATTAAACAATTAAAAATAAAGATCACAACTTGATGTTCACAAATATTTAAAAATTAAAAATAAGATGATATATATATTTACAATTAAAATTGTTTATAAAAATTTAATTTGTCTCTTTTAAAAAGTCTAGTATTTTACAATATAAACCCGGTTGGGAAAATAGATGAAGTAGAGACTGGAATCGGCAGTATTTCGATCTTATGTTCTTGAGATGATTGCACTCAAGTCAAAATGTGCTTAACTGTCAAAGGAACATGACAGTGTTCACATTCTGGTTGGGGCTCTCGCTTTAAGATGAAAATATGTGTTAAATAGTGTGGCCAATGCGAGAGTTCTATAGGAGTTGGGCCAGTCTCCTAAGAGACGCTTAATGTGGTCCAATGTGATGAAAGTTTATTTCTGCCTGCAAGATCCCAAGATCGTTGCGCCAGCGGCCATAAATGAAATGATTTATGCAAGCTTTAAAATCTGTGTATGGAACTAAAAACTAGGATAAGGGATGATCTAAGGCAGACAAATCTGCTTGATCGTTCCCTTTTATATCCATGTGACTGGGGAGCCAGAAAAGGACAATGTCGTATCTGCTTCTAGCAACATACTTTCTCTCCGTTAAAGATAACGATCCGAAGCTTTGAACAACCGGCACCAGTTTAATAACTATATAATATATTTACCTATAGATTTACTGATGGCATCTAAAGCTATGTATCTAAACAGATAAAATCCCAAACATACCACTGATATCACCTGTAAAGACAGAATTATTAAACGATACTTTATATATAATTATAATATATTTAAACAATGACTTTACTACATGCATGTTATCTCTCTTCGTCATATTTTGATAAAACTGATCAAAATCAATTGTTACTATGTTACTGCTGAATTTGACTCTTCGGGAAATTAAAATCCAGTAAAATATCCAGGAGGAACCAGACCCTTAGCTATCGCCCGGGGGGGGGGGGCCATTGCATTGAACACAATACTAAGCCGATGACCAACGTGCCCATTCGGTATGGGCGTCCCATAAAGCCGAGTGACATAAGTTGGGCGCCCACGACGTGATTGGCGACGCACAAAACGGAATTGGAGATTGTAGCAAATTTTCCAGGTCAAATTCACGATGGGGGTGAGAATAATACAAACATGCACCAAGCATGATAATCTTCAAAATTCAAACAAGTCGCACTTGGTTCCGAACTTTTCGTTTTTCTTATAAATCACTATAGGTACGCTAAAGTCGTATTCCTTCCTTCAAAATTTTAAAATGTTCATATCAAAATTTCATAATACGCCAATGTCGCAAATTCAGCCCATAGCTAGCCGAAAAATAGCTATGCCCCCCCCCCCCCACACACACACACACCAAAAATTTTGGGTTAGCTATGGGGATGGGATAAAGAGGATGGGCGTTTGTGTTCCGTCAATGTCAATGACAAGTGTCCCTTATGCTTTGTACCATGCACTAAAACCTGAAGGTCTCGGCATGTTTATTAGTTTAAACTACAATAACTAGAATCAGCATTTGTCAGCTCTTTCAACTGTTGGTATTGGCGATTTAATTTCAAGAACATTCTCCGGTAGACATTGATAAAATACTAGAATGAACATATCGGCTCATAAAAATGGTGTATGTTTCACTGTTTCCCAAAAAATAATTGAAAAATCTCGATGTGGCTTTAGGCCTTGACGACAGCATAAGGGCGAAAACTATTATACAATGCCTTGCTTCGCTTCTCCCAAGGAGACTGTCATTATTCGGTTGAAATCCTATGCCACATTACACGGTCTATAAACTTGATAAAATGTTATAATAGCATGTATAGTTGGTTCTGGGATCTCTAATTACAATAGCCGACTAGTAATTCATGGGTTGCTGGACTTACAAGCACAACGGGGCAGCACCCAGGTCGTATAGACTGGGTCATGTTTGGGCGAATTATCAATAACGAAACCCCATAAAGTATTATTCAAAATGTTCCTTCCCTACAATGAAATTATGCTTCTGGCATCCCATAATTTATTGGGGAGCCACGGTGGCTCTGTGCTTATGGTGCTGGTTCACTAAACAGTAGGTTCCTTGGTCTCGTATTCCATCCCGATGTTGAGCGAGATTTTCCAGCAGTCCTGTCAGTCGTTTGGAGAAGGTACAAAAAGCCTAGATCCAGTTGAGTAATCGTTGGCGAGACGTGCACTCTTGACCACTGAATAGTTGGCGGAAACGCTGCCCGGTCAAACGTTCCGTCATTGCACACTGCATGGTGTTTGCTGATCTCAATTATTCTGGTGCAAACATGTAAGACGTTAAACTCCATTTTATATACCTACATTATGCTTTAATGATTATTGATCTTGCCCTAGAATTTTTTTTTGGTTGGTTTTTGTTGGTTACCTCAACTCAAATGGGCAGGAATGTGAGATGGAGCAATGTGTCCCCCAGTCCTGTTATTTGAATACGACAATAACGGTATAATACAGTAGAATCTATACGAACAGCCACTCCCATTCAGCGACCCCCCCCCCCCCCCACAGGTGTTTCCGATCAATTTTTTTTCTTCATTTGTGCGCATAAAATCTATAATTTAAATGTGTTTATAATATTGTATTTTACGGTTAAATTGTTTAAAAGTCTAATTTCATGACATATAAATTGACTGACAAGCAAGTACTCCAAGTCGGTCAATTTAACTTCCAGACAATCAAAACTGGCAAATCAAGACTGAAATGAGTGTCCTCGCAGCAATATACCGAAACGGGTGTTAACAGCAGCGGCCGTGATCATGTTATACACACCTCTTTCTGTCAATTTTAAATTGGATTTGAATAGAATACACCGTTGCATTACTGAATATCACACGCGTGGCTGTCTCGTGGGTACTCTACTTACCTTGAACTTGAAAATCTATATGATGATAACAAAAAAAAAATGATCTAAATTTATGATTGTGGTATTTGGTCCAAGGCTGGTAAGTGACACGATTATATAAACAAACCTAAGACTGCCCATTTAAATGTAATAGATCGGTTCCTAAAGTTACATAAAAAATGTACTTTTAAAGATAGGTCCCCACTACAACTGGTACAACAACACCCTGAATGAGTTATACGTCTTCATAATGTTAAACAATCAATCGGGTTATATTTTGGCGTGGATTAAGATACTGACGGAAAACCGCAAATGACAAGCAATGGTTTTAACAAATAAAAGTACGTTAATTCCGCTAGAAGAGACACAAGTCATACTGTGAACAAAACCCTTTTAGTCCGGGAGCTAGGTGGGTTTTGTTCAACATGGAAGGTGAGCAGGGTTTGGCATGCTAGTGGTGTATGGCTGGGTTAGGAGACCCCAGAAACCAAATTCTTAAGTTGCGCCAGTGATGGGTGTCGTAGGAGGAGCCACCCATAGTACCCCCCAAAATGGGTTTATTCAACATGGAAGGTGCAAGTTCCACTTCAATGGCATTTGAAAGAGGAATATATATCTCGTGATATATTCCAAGTATATTGCACAAAACTACATGGACATTTTTGATAGTGCTAGGAGCAAAAATATGAGACATAAAATAAATGAAGTTTTAGCTAAAAGTATGAAATAGTCTCAAAAATAACGAAAATATCACTCGACCCCCATCGGTAATTAAAATGTTAATCAACATGAAAGATGCGAGTGAGAAACCAAGCCTAAATTGTACTGAATGATATCAGAAATCATTATCATCAACTTAAGAATGAAATATCTGGTGGTCAGTGTACTTAAGAAGAGAATAATGCTGGTTTGCACCGAATGACCCATAATTAGAAATTTAATTAACATGAAAGGTGCGACATTGGAACATGATGTAGGGAATGATCATAGGATTCACAACCACTAACTTAAGAATGAATATTTAGGTGGTAAATGAACTTAAGAACAGCAGATGTGACCAATAACCTTAAAAAATCAGTGTCAAGCGGTGCAATATGCCCACAATGCTTAGTTTCCTCTTGTCAGTCATTATAAAATATGTGATAAAGCTCGTTAAATACATCCCAAATATAATTTTAACACAAAGATCATTGCTACGGGAGACTTGTAACAAGCACGTGAAGAAACGGGAAGTGACGTCAAACATGAGTTGTCCTTCTATATAACTGACTGAAGTAACGAGCGGTAACAGACAAACGATCGAATTTCATTTCACTGATAATTCCGTTGAAGATGAAAAGTTGTTATATGAGACGATGAGAGGATATCTGACAATTCAAAAAAAGAATTGGCTGTCATTCTTTAAAAGTTAGTGGTTGTGATTATCAGTCCCTACATTTCATACCTTGTTCCAATGTCGCACCTTTCATTTTAATTAAATTTCTAATTAGAGTTCATTCGGTGCAAGCCAGCATTATTCTCTTCTTAAGTACACTGACCACCAGAAATTTCATTCTTAAGTTGATAATAATGATTTCTGATATCATTCCATACAATTTAGGCTTGGTTTCTCACTCGCACCTTTCATGTTGATTAACATTTTAATTACCGATGGGGGTCGAGTGATATTTTCGTTATTTTTGAGATTATTTCATACTTTTAGCTAAAACTTCATTTATTTTATGTCTCATATTTTTGCTCCTAGCACTATCAATAATGTCCATGTAGTTTTGTGCAATATACTTGGAATATATCACGAGAAAATGGAAAAATCGTTTTCAGTAAAATCGAAAAATTGCTAATTAGTGACCTTTGACCCCTTCTTAAGTAACCTTTCCACCAAAAATCCCATTCTTAAGTTATATTTCCTAATTCAGGGCACATTCCTCTTTCAAATGCCATTGAAGTGGAACTTGCACCTTCCATGTTGAATAAACCTATTTTGGGGGGTACTATGGGTGGCTCCTCCTACCACACCCACCACTGGCGCAACTTAAGAATTGGGTTTCTGGGGTCTCCTAACCCAGCCATACACCACTAGCATGCCAAACCTTCCGCACCTTCCATGTTGAACAAAACCCACCTAGCTCCCGGACTATTTACAGCAAGCTAATTAACAGATTGAAATCCTTCTGAGATTCTATAAACCCGAGATGTGAAAAAGTAAAACTAGTAAACCCTCATTATAATTAAGCTGGTGGCATTATGTCGTTTGCGGCTCCAATCTTCAACCAATTTGTGATATTAGTTTTACCCAGACAAAAAATTCTATTCATAACCTTCAAGCACTCTATAATTCCATATCACAAAATTACCCACCAACACTACGCCTCAATAAACCGCGCCTACTATCTTACAGAATCGAGATGTTTTTGATAACCTGGATAACCGTCTGTAATTTCAAGTGAGCTAATTAAATACAAGGTGGAGGAATACAACTTATGACCTGGTGGGTCAGTTTTATCCCGGTATTTGACACGTGGGACAATAGGTGACAAGGTGTGTGACCTCGGTAATGAAAATCAAATATTTGAACTTTGTCTCTAGTTACATGTATAGGCATTCTCTGATTGAAATCGCCAACTGGAGCAACGTCATTGTGAGATGGGTTGTCTAGGGCTGTAAGGGGTTATAGTAGGGTTGGTTTTCTTTATCTTTGTGGTGAGTAGGAAGGGTAATCAATAGATTGTTTGTCAGTGTTTCATTACCTTTGAAAATAGTGCCCACATCTCTTATTATTCGTATTTTTAAAGTATCAATATTGTTATTATTCATAGCCAAACGCGTCCAGTCTGTTTGTTTTTCAATAAATGATTTCGTAGGGAGATAAACAATTGTTATTATTCGAATATTACAAGTACGGTACCGGGGCGCTATTCGAGAATATTTCAAATATTAGAATTTCTGAATTAATATGCACATTCTAAAACTTGTAGGACTAAAGGCTGATAAAAATCATTCCATAGACGCATTACTGCTTCAAAGCAAAGAAAAAAAAACAATCCCGAGAATTGCAATGTTTATCCGTTTATAGTTACAGCTTCCTTGATAGCAATGGTGAAACCGTTCTCAAATAGGGGATTGGTACGTCAAGCGTTTGTGCTTTCTAACCCAGGCGCGTCGCGACAAGGATGTAGGTGTGTGTGTGTGTGTATGAAATAGCTTTATTTTACCTCCGCTTCCGCCAAGTGATATCAGGAGGTAGCGTTACCTGCCTAACCTGTGGAACATCCAGTTTCCTCCCGATGCTAAACTGTGAATTATGGAAATAAAGATATACCATACAAGCCCCGAAATGACATAGTTTGTGTTGAGTGGAAGTTAAACGCAAGTTTTTTGTTCGGTGAAATGCATGCGTCGTTGTATGATACAAATCCATAGACATTTCATTTAATATTTAAATTGACCACAAACATGTCCTCATTATGGAGTCAAATATTCAGAAAGTGATGGGTATCAAATGTAGCTTTATTCATAAAGGAGTGAGCGCAGTAAGTTCCCACGGCAATATGTCATTTCTTAGTTTTTTTCCTTTCTTTCAACCAAGCCCTGTTAGGTTCTAGGTTCCGGCAAAACAAGAAAATCATTTTATTAGCCTGAGTGTTTTAAAGAATATGTACTAGATATTTGAATTGGTTGGGTCGCACTTCAAGTCAAATAACTTGATCCCTCAACAAATGTCAGGTCATGTTTAATAGTGTCTGTACAAATATCATTACATGTTGGATTGATTGAGCTGTGTTTAATGGTCTCCATTATAGATACCGTTACGAGATATTAAGTCACTTTCACTGCTGGTATGAGTACTGGTATAATAGCTTATTATACAGTGTTACACTGTAGTTTTACTACAGGCATTTTAGGTACGTTTTTCTTTCTAAAATGAAAATGGGGTTTAACGTCCAAAATTTCTAGACAAACAGGGCCAATAAAGACGGGCATGCGCTATACACTATGCATTTAGGGTATTTGTGTCCGGGTAGCGGCGTTTCCGGATACTCTTCATCGAATTCAAACCTTCAAGGATTCTTTTACACATGTGGATCCGGGTTTTCGTCCCTACCGGACACCCATACTCTGCACCCACTGATAAGGGGAAACCGGAACAGAATAATTATGCTTTTAAACGTATGCAAATAAAGATTTCTTTCACCTTACACATACTTTATTCGTTTGTAAACATATTTTGTTTACTATTCTATATGAAAGGGAACATTATCAGATAATAAATAGTTAGCATGTATTTGTGAAAATGAATATGTGATGTTTAAAGTGACTTTTTTATGATTTCCTATAAATACATACATAAATGTACACTGGTAAAAGAAATGTCGCGTTCAAACGATCAAAGACCAATTTTCAACAGATCAAATGTATTAAACTTTTAGATCTAACGCTTAAATACAAATTACTAAAATATTCATCATCCGTGTGAAAAATAGCGAATAACATATATGGATAAAAATTATATAATGTCTGTCCATGCGTGTATTATATAGACGTCGCGAATTTGTCCATGGGTATGTATAAATGTGCATCATTTCCTAACTAGGGTGTAAATTACATTTAAATTTCGTATCGTATATTTTTTCTGACATTATAACTTTCAGAAAGTATTTCATTGTGTTGTTCTACCAGAAGGATTAACAGTAATCCTCTTCCAATTGGATATTCACTCACGTCATGTAGAATCATGTACGCTCGCCCATCATATTCAGCACCACATATATACCAAAAGGAACAATTTGATTAGTCAAAAACTTGACGTGATATTTTAATGCAAACACTATTGTGTGCGTTAACCATAAAGGTGGAAGAACCCTCAGCAATTGGAATACCAAACCAAAACTCTCTTCACTATAACCACTCTGGTGAACAGGGGTTTCTTGTACAATCTTTGTAAATGGTTTTCGTATTAATATTTCCTTTTAAAATGCCGATATGATTCATCATTAATATGTACTAATTTAGCATTTTTATTGAACCAGAAAAGGGAGTAGACATTTAAAAACCTTAATTAAAGATTACCTAGTAAGATAGATCCGTAAAATCGCGGTTAATTTTAATATCTTATGCGATGGAAGGATTTTATTTGCGCCGGCTACGTCTATACAAAATATATTACTGGTACAGTCATGTATGAAATCTAAATGAGACATCGATTTATTTCCTATCACCAAATATTTTGCCTAATCAGTGAATTGAAATGATTGATATCCCAGTCAGTCCTTGTAAATATATATGGGGTGCTGTCGCCATTTGATCACATTCGTATAATATGTTTTGCGACATAATCAAATGTAACACGCGTAAACAATATAATATATATGATTTATATTCCACCCTAGTTGATTTAATGGATTTAGAAATTGACCCATAATATTTTAATTTCTAGAATACTTAGACTGGGTGCAATCGTTATGTTTACTGATATGCTCGGAAATGACACAGAATCATTGTTGAAACATCATTCCGATTTAAACTTTGGTGGTGATAATACTGGTTTTAATGTATTTGGTTTATACTGTGAACTCTTGTAGAAACGTTAGAGTGCAATAAACATGGTGATTATAATCATAAGTATTGTTGTATTATGATATTTTATATAATATAAGACAATGATTTAAGACAAGACATTGATCACCATACATACCAGTGTATAATATCCACACACAGCACTTCCCACACGTGTATTGGGCCAACACAAAAACTTGGTAATAATAGCCATAGTCTCTCAAATACATACACAAAGTCTACTAAGTTTATAATTCAGTACTTTAATATATAATTCCACTCCAAGTAACCAGAATTCGCATAACGGTCCTATAGGTTTTAATAGTTCAATCGTTCACATTCTTTCAAGATGAAACCATCACCTTTTCTACGAAAGTTAGAGAGTCTAAAAGTTACACCGCTTCTCAATTCTTTTCTTTTAGAAATTCGCGTCAAATCATACTAAACGTTCACTCCTTTCTTACTACGGTAGATCACTTTATATCCTACTCAGGTAGATGCACAGGTATAACACAAGTAAACGGTAAATCAAATTGAAGGTGTTTCACGTCAGTGAGGTCATCGTTCCCACAGGGTTACCCGTGCTTAAATACCTGTACAGGTACAAAGAGTTAATCACCAAATACAAACCCCCGTCTCGGTTCACTGGCTGTATTTACCTGTCACAAGCTACGAGTTATTTCTCTCACTTTGACTCTATATGCTCTCGACAACCGAGACTATTTAACGGCATACAATTTGATGTTGTATACTCGATTATATAAGTCATTTGTCATCAAAAAGTGACGTGATGTAAAATCAACTCATTTTTGCTGTTTTGACTAGAAAATTAAATAAAAACAAAGACACGTGTTCATGAAAAGAATAATTTTGTATTCAAAATGTCCTGCTTAACAAAATGTATTTTTATAGTAATTTATACGTACGTCTCATTTTAAACAATGTATTGTTGGGGTTTTTTTTGTTACATTTATTTTTCAGCTTGCATCATGGAATTTTTATTGTTTTATTTGAACAAAAAGACAAGATTATAATGGTGTTAGTCATTTTATTAATAACGTGTAAATTTGTATTTTAATCTTTTCGAAATGAGAGTGAAAGAAATGACTTTCCCGATGTTCTTTCTTTGTGCAATGTCACCTTTTGCGAGCAGGTTAAAACCTTTTCTACTTTTGGTTTTATTATCAAATGAATGAAGATGACGACGACCTTTTTCGAAATGCTTTTAAAAGCAACGGATATCACAAACTTTATAGAAAGAACATTGTGTTTTATTTTAATAAAATGTCTTTGTCAAACTATTCACAATACTAACGGATGTGACAAATTTGAGAGAAATTAACCATATTTTTCTAAAGATTGAAGGCCATTTGTAAATCATTTTGAACAAATTAGCTTTACTTTTTTATGGTTTTAATTGTGACACTTAATTGAAATTTTCTCTTGTATTATGTACAGAGAAACAGAAATAAGACGGTGTGAATTGACAACCTCGACGTATCCCGCTGTGAAACAAATGTTATCCCTGCTCTCCATTCAATAGTACAACATTTATAATTTATCCCATCGAAAGTTCAGGGTCACATTTTCTTCGGTTTTTTTTCTATCGTTTTTTGGGTTGTTGTACAAACGGTATCTTTATTAGAAAGTCGAAAACTAATTTCACAAAATTTAAAAATCATAATCTAAATGGAATGAATTAGGATTTCTGTTACCATTTTGTTAATCACACATTTCAATGTTTATCATTAAATTTACATAAATGGGCTTCATGTATTTCATTTTTTAACATTTTTATAACTGACTAAATTCTTCAGATTTTATTTCCATTCGCAAACGATTCAAACAATTTTATAGTTCTATTTAGAGTATTTTAAATGTTGTTTAAATTGAATTAGAACGTTTGTGGATCCGGGATGCCTTACGCATTCTCTATACTGCTGCGAAATAGAATTGTTTCAATGACATTCAGTAATTGACCGGGACATACTTAGGACAAAATTCAGGATGGAATAAAAATACTATTCAAGCAAAGTTTCAACTGGGATTTTGAAAAAGGCTGTATAATCGTAGGGAGAAACATCGCTTAGTAATACACATTAATTTTATTCCATGTAGTTATATGTCAAGAACTGATTTTTAAGGAATTTGGGCCTCTTTAATTGAATTAAAGACAAAGTGAAATAAGAATTTCGTGCACGCGTCACAGGCTGCCCCCAAATTTAAACTTCTATTTGACCTTTAACAATAGAAGAAACCAATATATTGGTACCATACGTGTTAGCCGATTATCGATACATTATTCTTAGAGATTAAATTCTGCTTTAATGATAGGGGGATATAAATCAACTGGTTTCTTTTATTGGTCTCCACACGTAACACCTTTTAATTATAAAAGTATTATTTTAATCTCTTGATAAGCAAAAGCCAAAAGGACAATTAACCGATTCATTGTCCACACTTAGCCGCTAAAAGATTAAATGGATATAAATGGTATAGATGATCTGGTCCGGTGATTTATAGGTTGATTAATCAATAGGAATCAGCATCTGACACTTGGCTTCGGTAAATATTGTTTTTAAACCCATTAGTCTGCTCTTTTGTTTTAAAATATAATTATATAGTTAATCGCGTGGCACTTGGTTTCAGGCTAGATTTATTGGGTGAATGAAGTTGCAGCTAGGCATCGATTTACTTTTCCGCCTTCGTTCGTTCGTGGGCTTTAACGGCCACTTCCACCGAGGGTGGTATCGCAGACAATTTCACGCCCCTTTTCTATTGGTGTTTAACGTTCACTTCCACCGAAGGTTATATTGCTGACAAGTTGTCTTATTTTCTTTATTTTAGCGCACGCGCATGGGACTTTCTTGTGTGTGTGGGGGGGGGGGGTACCCGGAGTAAACCCACGAGGTTGAGAAGGCGCCCCTATCTCCAATGGGGTTGAACGTCCTATTTTTCTGCACCAAACAGGCTAATGAGGACGGGTATATACCATACAGTGTGCCCCTCCCCCCCCCCCCGCCACTCCCACCGCTCAGGTACAATTTTTTTTGATTAAAACAGGACTTTTATGAGAAAAGTGTCACGGTCGTGTGCTTTATCCTTTATCACCAGAAGGGCATTCAAAGCGCGATATATTATGATACTGACATAATATGTGATATCATAATTAATGCTTTGCATCAATGAAATTGAATCACAATGTGATCCTATTAATTTATAATAAAAATTAACGTCAAACGGGGTGTTGGATTTCTCTCTTTAAAATGACCAGTCTGTATGTATGCCTACCTAATTTGGAGAGGATAATGGCATCATACATTGTCAACACTATGATTCTATATTGATCGTCTATCTTCCCCGATTGATTCTCAAACAAGTCTGTTTCTTTGAAAATACTTGTCTGCGACATCAGTCTGTGTGCAAGTGGACGTTAGCCCTCATGAGATTTGGAATTGCAGTATATTGTCTACATGCATTAAACCCTCTACAATTTAAAACACCGAAAATTTTTAATATGGTCGAATATAATTCGCCTCATTTTGCATGGACACAAATAACTATCTACTTTAAGTGTAGATCTCAGTCCTGAATGTTTACATTTTCTGTCATACACTACACGCAAAGGCGACAAAAAAAAAAAAAAACACTTTCAATTTTATGAATTGGAAGCAGAGTAAATACTTCTCAAAATTCTCGAAGCATAGTTAGTGTCTTCGAGTAAAATCGTCGAATTAGGAAATAAAATGTCGTTCAACCAGCTTTGTGTCCTTTTTGTAACAGACAGCGTAAGTTTCGTAAGTAATTCGCAATTGATTTTGTTTTTTTTAATAAAAAAAAAAAATAAACAACAGTCCTGCTAGGCAACTAATATACGCACCGTTAGTACGCCGAAAGATGGCTAGGCATGAAACTGCAACCCATGGATCGTATTCTAGGCTTCATCTGGAAAACTCAGTATGTATGTATTATATGAATTTCGATCAGGACCCCACTTAGGACAAGCGGCACATTCCCAGCCAGGGACCCCATTTAAGACAAGCGGAACAACCCCAGCATGTTTTTTAAAAAAGCTCTCAAAAACTCGAACCGCCCCCCTCGCCCCACCCGTGGATACACCGCCCCTTGTTGCTATGCCATCTATCGCTGCATCGTGTGGAACTTTTTTCTGTACCCGCAGTCTGTTCCAGATCTTTAAACCAGACTTACACGAATTGTGCAAAGTAGAACGTGTTTAAGTGTTAAAGTCAATAGATGTTTTTAGTTATATTGTGGTATGTTTGGTTTGGTTGGAGACATGTTACCATGTATTTTTGTCTATCACGTCTATTATATACTATAACTCACGTTTGTACCACCAACATCAGTTAACTTACATCCCACCCCCTGTTTTATTACAATACAACTAGAAATTTAAAATACGTCTCTTACATAATAACGACACTTTAATATACAACCCTCACTATTCTTTGACAAACTACCACACCGCTATTTACCATGTTTTCAAAAAGGTTATTTTTTCTATTTGAATACAAGACATCACACGATCTATTTAGAATTCATAAAAGTGCACAATGATGTAGGTCAAATCTGTTAAAATATTTTTTAAAACGTTAAACCACGCTTGTTTTAAAAAACAAAAAAAAAAAACAAAAAAAAAAAGCAAAACAAAAAGCAAATAAAAAACACCACTTGTAGCTCCGCGTAAGGATTAAAAAACCCTTTGTTATTTTTATTTAATATTCAACGAATTTCGAAACATCGAGAATAACACATTACACGACACATTTTGATAAATTAATAATAGGCTTTTTTTTTTATTGAAGTCCTGACGCTTTTCTGTCTAATAATAATACATGACCAAGTAAAAGCCCGTCAAATTAAGGACTGTCAAGGGATTATGAAACATTGATGCCAATTAATATTAGACCAGCTTTTCAACCATCAGATAAGTCAGGGGCAATAACTCAGAAAATACTTTCACTAAAATTAAGCGTGTTTGATACCACCATGTGGATGGTGCTGGATAGTCGGTTTTGTTACCGTTTAATAAACCCAAGTTGACATTATTTCCTAATGTAGGTTTCTTGTTCTAACCGCTACCTGTCACGAGGTGAAATAAATGCTTTTGTTAATGGTGAACAATGCTTGTGTCGTACTCCCACAGTCGCACTCTTATGTTTTTAAAATGTATTAATTGCGATGGTTTATACCTTATTAATAATAATTAGTAACTTTAAAGAAGAACTCTGGTCGTTGCCATTTATTTATATTCTAATCTGTATCTAATGAAATGAAATGTGGCTTAACGTCCTACTTTTCTGCACCGACTGGGCTAATGAAAATGGTAATAATTTCAATCCACAATACAAATAATTTCGAACTATCAGATAAATAAGACCCTGGATGTGGCGTTATGAGGAGGAACTATCAATCACTTTTCCATTCAACAACTTTCTTATTGTGTATTTACGTTAGTGTTATAGCTATGCTAGCATACACCGAAAGGACTTGTACTTCGGCTTTCGCATTTTTGGAACTATTTTGATATTAGATAATGAATAGTATATAAACGGATACAGTTCTCCCTTAACCCCAGTTACGTGTAGGAAACATCAGTATACATACATGTATATTAATACAAGATTTGTCGGTTGTATATTTCTCACTGGTATTCAAATAGGATATTTAAAATCAGCGCGAATCTTCGAATTTGGATTTATGACTGCATAAGTAATATTTTTTATG